TGATCGTCAAACCACCATTTAACTTCGGTGGCCTATCTACAGCCAGTTTGATGCAAAATATTAGAGTAGTCATTTGGCTTTTCACAGTCGTTCTCAAGGTCTTCTTTGTTCGTACTCATATCCAACTACTTATAGGCTGGATACCTGACTGTGTAAGTATTTTGGGGTTTGAACTAGATGTAAACAGAGGCCAGTTAGGATATCCTAGGCACAATATCATCGAAGGTTTGTTTGCAAGAGAGGATTCTAACTTGAGACTTTCTTGCCTGAAAAACTGTTAAAGAAATTATGTCGCATGCGTAACTTGCAGAACTCAAACTAGGACGCCCTTCAGTTAGGAAAGGTTGCGTTTACTTATTCAGTAATGTTCACTCCAGCGTCCGGTCATCCGCTCCAGTTAATCAATATTAAGGGAAATGTTGGTTAGTTCTCTTGGCTAGACGATTTGATTGCGAACGTTTCGTTACCAATCGAGGTGACATCATCAGGGAGCGTGGTGGAGTTTAGTAATAGGTCGCTAGTTGTGCGTTGAGTAGTGATGCGTGTGTGTTTATGTATGTGCCGCTAGTTGGGGCTAACGATCGTTCACAAATGACTGTTCACCGCCACAGCGATAAATCCTAACATTGGATATCCCATTGGAGTCTCTTTCAGCTGTTTGTATATTTTTCCATCATCTCTGGGGGAGTGATGCAAATATTAGAGGGCGCGGTACAATCAGCAATGAACCCAAGGCAATGGATCCGCTAGAAGAAGAAGAAATCTCAACAACAGCAACAGCAAGAACACGTGATCAGTCGGGTAGTTCTACCTTGTGGCAAAATTATACCCGGATTTCCAACCAAATTATTAACCCAGAGAGGAACCCTCGTGGCTCACAAAAAGAATACCACTTTGAGGAAACCAAACTGAAGACAGAAGGACAAATAAGACAAAACCAGGAGTAATAATCACCACCACCACCATCATCATCATCATCGACAGCATGACATCAGTGTTCAATACCGATGCTTCACTGCCGTACAACCATGACTTATTTGAATTTGTGTATGTGCAATTCATGGTTGTACGTGGGCTGGGATACTGCCAGGGCGCCCACACCTAGACAGGAGGACGATTAGGGTCCTCAACCAAAGCCTTTGGCTCAAAAGCCTAACCGCAAGGCAGCGGTGTTTGGCGGGAAATGCAAATGCATTACCATTTCTACGGAACAAGTCGCCACATGTTCCAACCCCCAACCTGGAGGGCCAGGAGACTGTGTTCGTCAGACCTCTAACCAATGACCTGGTATGACTCTGTGAGTGTCGCGGAACACTCTCCAGTATAGCTCAATGGATCGCTGAGGTGCGCAAACCGTCACATCACGGTAAGGTCCAGTCTCTTGGTGACGGAGCAACAACGTGATATACTAAATCAACTGCAAGTACTGCAAAAATATCTACGTTCACCGTACTGAGAGGAAATTATGCAAACAAATGTAGGGAACATTGCGGCTTTCATAAGGTATAACTCCTGATCCTTAAAATCCATACTTGAAGACCAACATTGTCACAAATTGAATTGAATTAAGCACACAAATCCTGGCATACGGAGACACGAACACACGGAAATGCAATTTCAATAAGCATTGTATTCCATGATTGGTTTGATCAACCTATGCACTCAACTAGATCTGGTTTACGCATCATTACGTGCGAAGGACCAATATCAAATTAACAAACCAAGAAACATTAAACCCACTGGAGTCGGAACCCAGATGGATTAAGGACAGAGGTCACCATAGCACCGACCAGAGTACTAGAGCCGGGGAGGCTAACCTCAAATCTCCCCTGGTCGTAGATTAATTAGAACAACGGGTTACAGAGCAAAGGATGGAAGTGACCCATCGTTATCACAGGTCACCCCGGCTAGCAGCAGATATACAGGCATACATGCAACACTATTTATTCAACGCAAAACAGTCGACCCGTCACTGCGCTGCACCACGCTCCCTAATAAAATACTGATGCTGTCAGGCCGATTGGTGTTGGAACGTTTGCAATAAAATTTCTTAGTTCAGCGAACAAACTAACCAACTCCTTGCTGCCACTATCTAAATTAGGAGATTTCTAAGATTATCATCCTGATGAGTTAAATAATTATTTGAGAAAACATTTATGCTGCTGCGCAACGGATTCCCACCCTAGTACTCCAGCCAATGTCATTCACCAAAGCCTTCCACTAATTTTGAGAGGTAACGTAAAATTTTCTGGGGCTGCAGTTGACGAAGAAGGTATTGAGTTGAGAAAATGTCTGACCAAATGCTTGCTTTGCTTAAACTCCTTCTTATCTGTTCTCTTCCGGATGAACCTTTTTTTCTATCCGTTCTCCTTCGGGTGACTGATCACAACAAAAGTAAATTTTCAACCATGTCAATTTGATCTTTTGTATTTTCTCCGAGTGGGGGGCCACGCCACTAAAACCTCTGATTTTTAGAAACCTAGTGTGACCCCAATATCTCGGTTGGGACTAGTTGTCACTATCCGTGAACACACCTTGACAGGAAAAATAAATGAGAGCACAGTGAAGATGCCGATCTTTTCAAGATGCAAAGTCACATATCTGATATCTAGCCATTAATGCAAAGTCGAACTGACCTTTCATTGCCCTCGAAAGTTTCGTGCTATAGAGTTTGATAAGGCTTTGAAACAGGTCGGTCCAAGCCTTCGCTGTGCTCAGAATCAATGTGATTGGACCTTTGAACTACTTTGTACATGACATCACGTTTGTCTATCGCCTTCGAGCTTAATTCAGCTTAAATAACCTTATAGAGTAAACCAATTCATTCTTTCTGTTATCCTCGGTACCGAGATAACAATACAAATATGGGAATCTAACATCCTATCTGTTCCTATTGTGCGACGTGAACTTCTAATGGAAAACCGCCACTTTGCTCGGGAGCAACTACTGTTGATTTGTGAGTAACACGAGTCCGACCGGATTTTCTTAATTCAGGCCTAGAGACCTGGAATTGAATTTTGCTGGTACAGGAATTCGATGAGATAAAATGAGGATCCTAAATTTCCCAGTAACGATAACGTACAATTGGGCTATACCATATTCCAATGCCTAGAAAAAAATAGGTCTTAGAGGAAGAAGTTCGATAACGCAGTAATATGGAGATGAAATTACTCGTAGGTGTTTTCAGTGTTAAAATGGAGAAAGCTTTTATTTTAAGTACCATTCAGTATCCGTCCTCCAGTTAAGGGATGAAGACTCTCCTACGCTCAATCTACTCACAGAATTAGGACAGGTTCCCGATTTTTACTGGTATCATTTCGGTTTAAGCACTCCTCTAAAGTACTCTGGTTCGCTTGGGAATATCCTCACTTGATTAGGTAAGAACGATGCCAAGAGATCAACCCTTGCGTAAAACATCTAGTTTGACTGCACTGTAATGAAGCAACTCACCGTCAGCGTACCGACGTTTACTTCTCAACATCCCGGTGGTTGGACTTCTCCAGGATAATTAACCAGATCACAGAAATATCCCATAAGTTTCGCTTACCATGAGATCGTCGCCTTCCATAGGCATCCGGTAGACAGTCAACAATTTCCTGAGATTTCATTTAAGTAGTTAACTCCGGTGAAGTGTTACATTTCCTTCATCAAAAATTTTAGAACCGAAGAATTCGTTTGCTCCGTATATGTTCGCTGCTACCCTAGCAAAGATAAATACTTACCATTGCTTTCGGTCATCAAAACTTCAAGGAGAGAAAAATGCGTGCACTAGACACTGATGTAGAACCGATAACGATCAGTGACTATAGGCAACGCGTCACTCAGAACACAGAGACAGGAGGAGCGAAAAGCCTGGGGCACAAGTTATCATATTGATATGGGTTTGAACTATCTCCAGGCCAAGTCGAAATTAGTAAAGAAGTAAGGGTGGACTGATCCTTTACGTATCCTTTCAAAATTATCAGTCAGTTTGCCTAGAATACCTAAAAAACAAACGTTTAAGCTACAAATAAAAATCAACAATTTTCTATTGTGAACAGCAGATGCTCAGACCTTTTAAATGAAGGACTTGCTGTAAGATTCATTTCCAAATTTTCCTTAGGTATTTCAGTCAGGTTAAGGTGACTGAATTTATACTGAAAACTGGATAGGAAACGAACACTGGAGTCACTTATACCATTACCCAGGAGGATTCCGCTCGTTTGCTGTCCGCGCTTGTTTCCCAGTATGAATTGGATTTATAGGGATGGTTAATATTGATTAATCAGGCACATTACCTGTAGCTTCCATTATTGTAAATGGTTCCCATTCGTTGGTGTCGCTCTTAGCAACTCCATCGATTTGTCTCCGTACCATGTGCTCATACCATGTTATAACTTGATTTGCTCACAATTTCGATGCGTATCTACGTGTGTTCATCGTTATACGCCATGTTTGTGGTGGTGTGCACGCCCACCTACCTATATCGCCTAATGTGTACACTCGGGTGCCGTCGGAATGATCATCTTGCAAAAGGTCGAAAACGCAAGCAATCAACTCTACGCCTGCCTCATTAAGTGACCACAGCCTTATCTCAGCGGACTCCAGTATGTCTCACGTTCAGTGAAATGCTGGTCAACTCATCCTTGCTCAACAAGTGATTTGGTGGATCTTGTCATTATTTGCATTCTGCTCATTTAGTTATCAGAGAACCGCACGCTCTTTCCGTCCGTAATTCAGTTCAGAAATTACAGACCATTCAACCGCGATTTCTTCAACGCTCTACTGAGAGGACAGCACATTCTCAGTACGATTTTTCTTACCAGTTCCTGGGAGTTACTTTAACCTTAGGCACCACTTTATATCCACTGTATTCCTATGAAGTTCTTTCACGGTGAACTGGAAAATCAAACCATCTGATCTCATAAAACTCCTGATTTACCAGTGTGCTTTGCAACCTGACACTTGATTTTGATGTTCAACTGCTCTGAACGTCTCGTTCTACCTTCGTTTTTAGATACATGGTTGAACATAGGAAGGCCTCCTTACAAGAACCTGACGATAACGGTCGTCTTCCTATCCACGTTGCAGCCGTATCCGGACAACCAGACGTACTGACCTATTTGATCAATGCAGTTTCTCAGCGTTTATTACTGAGTAACGTGCCAGGCCGTTTCCGCCTTATCCTCGAAGATGGATCAGGAGACGGGATGTCTGACAGCGACGATGAAAAACCCGGGGGAGATCTTTCACTAGGTCTTCAGGTTCGTCATCCAAGCACAAAAAAGGATCAAGAGAAATTGCGGAGACGTTCTGTTAACGCCTACCGCATGGAGCAGCTATATACAGCCCGAACTGTTGCAGCTGCTAATTACTTGGACATCCATCACTGGACACCACTTCACCATGCAAGTTGTGAAGAAGCTATCAACCGCTATCCGGAATGCCTGAAGATTTTACTAAAAAATGGTGCCGACCCAATGTTACCAACTCTGCAGGGTAAAACAGCACTAGACTTAGCCTATGCGGCGGGGCGTTCCCAAGTCCTTGTAGATGTACTGCCTAAGCGACAACTGATTGCACTTCTGATGCAGATCGACGATATCGTGCCGCTGCGAGTAAGAACGGGCCAAGTCCCTGTGATTCCACAGCTGCACACGAAACTTCTATCAGCAGAAAAGCCAGATGTTGCACCGCCTCAGCTAATTGTGCCACAGAGATCCGAACGTGAAGGATCCATTCCAAGAACTCCCAGTGAGCGCGCCCGAAAAGGATATTCATTTATCCGCAGACTGGCTGATACAATGGGTGATGAAGAAATCACGTCCCATCACATGTGGAAAGCCAAGGGTGGCAAATCTGAGTCAACAAACCTAATGAGTATATGGCGAAAGATACTGCTGAACGACAACGTGGAATTGCTGGAAACACTGCGCGACTCATTGGTATGGCGACAAAATAAACAAGATAGCTGTGCAGGGGACGTGGATTTCCACGCTGTGACGCAACCGACCGAGTCCACTGCCACCACCATGACGGACTTTGATAGCGCACAGCGACTGACCTCAAAACAGTTGGCCGAACTGTTTAATGATTGTTACGAAAACGGAACTGGTGTCTTTTCACACGTGCAAGCAAATTATCAGAATTTGATCAGAGCCAGAGACTTTCTCACTGTATTACGAGCAATGACCGGACTACTGACGTTCAACACGCTCACCACCCACACTCAATATCCAACATCAACACCAAGTGTGGATGACGTGGAAATACTGAGACCAATGCATAAATCTCTGTTATTTTTGGCCATTCTTTGTGGACGATTCCGAGTGGCCGAGCAGTTGCTTCGTATGCGCCAGTTCGACATGCTACCCGCCGCAGTACTAGTTCTCCTGATTTTACGACGTCTCAGGAAAGAACCTAGCTTTCCGCAACAGGTAAGTCGCTTGAATTTTCCGTCATCCGGATAGATGAGATATGTATATATCAGAGGGTTGTTTGACACACATTTTTTCGTTTTCTGAGCGCATTTTAACGTCGATGGGATATTGGTTTGTAGTTAATAAGAACCTCATATTGTCTAGTGATACACTGCAGTTCTGTAGACTTCAGTCAGTTTAAGGCCGTGACATCTTACCACCAATGGGACTGCTCAAGTGTCCCACTTCTACTCACTGATCAGACAGTGTTCACTGACGAACAGCTCGCCGATCGTCCCGGACAATGTACAATCAGCGCCAAACTGTTTATTATGACAGCCAAGTGGCATACTACATTTCACTTGCGATGTTTGCCCTCGGATGGTGGATCTAACATGTATGGCAACATGTTCTGATTGATACGCTGCGCCAGTACAATAGGGAAATGTGTGTCAGAACAATTACCTCCACAGCAGGTATGACCCCTCTTTAAGACATCCTTCGTGGCATTTATCGCCCTTACATGAATAGGTGTTCCGCTTTCTCCAGGATGCATCCGCTCTGTGAATGATAGGTAGAATTGTCCCATTAAACAATAAATCAAAAGAGTCTATGAGGAAATTGTTCGTTTCGGTTCTATAATGAATCTCATCCTACGCTGAGATTCATTATAGAAACTACACTGATCTAGCCAGTATACCGCTCGGGAGTCGAGAGTTCACAGGTGGTAAATCGTTGACAGTTTGTTGCATGTGATTCGCTTCTGGTTTGAACGCGCAAAGTTTCGTCAGTGTACGGTCATTTAACTGGAGCATCAGTGTGCACTCAGATGTCACAATCAGTTCCTGATCCAAGAACCTTGTTCCAACTTCAGAGAGAGTTGAACGTGTGGGTTCACTCTGAACTGATGCAGCCAGCTTAATATTGTTCATCAACTTGTGAGTTTACTCCCCATTTCGTTCTTGATAGTTACATGCGTGCGTTCTATATTTACTTATAATTTAGCACGTGCGGTGTACATTTATTGTTGTGGGTTGTATTCGAAAAGCCCTTGCTATGCACGGTTGTTTTTATCATCACGTTTGGTTCGAAAGTCAGTTATTCTATGGTCCGGCTACAGTTACATCAAAGTACACTCACCGCTCTAACGAGCTTGTAACAGCAGCAAATCACTACGCTCGGCTGGACCACTGCTTGCTTACGCCTGATGCGTTCATACGTTTTTAGCAACCAACGAGCGTTGTTTGTGAGTAAGAAAAAGTTTTGGCCTCAAGTTCACTTTTAATTTGTTAGCGAATTCCACAACTAATACTCGAGCTGGATTACTGGGCACCTCATCCTTACTGGAAAGCATCAGTTAGTTTGAATCTCAAACAGGTCGATTTGACAACTGGATTTCAGGTGTGCTTAGAATCCTTTTGGATACCATACTTTCATATGGATAAGGATTGTGCATTTGTAAGGTACTCATATAAACTTATGTATGAGATATCTTATTAGCACACTAGTTACTGTGTTGTTCCAAATGTGACCCCATGCTCTCGGGCTCGGAAGTTCCTCACAAGTCAGTAAGGTGTCAAAGAATTTAACTTAGTAGCACGCGAATTAGCAATGAATCATCCTTTTTAATGGCTGAGATATTTCCAGTAAGAAGTTCTGTGAGAAGTGCGCTCAGTCGTTGAAGCATCCTGCCTGTCGTTGAAAGCTGACATAACCGTTCCTCGGACGCGGCATTACTCACAAGGTTGCTCAAAAAGCTTTGACATCCGACAACCTGTTTTCCTTCATTTAGTTAGAGTTTCTGGAGTTTCTGTCAGCCCTACATTTTACCCGAACCCAAATTAGACACCTTTCGCAAAATATTCTCACCTGCACATTAATTTGGTTTCATTTGAAGAATATCACAAAAGAGGTAATCGAATAGGATTCATTTCTGTCTCCCAGGAAAACCAAGTGTGAAAATTTAGTGAATTTCTCCAAAACTGTTTTCCATTTGTTGTAAAGTGGCTTATCCTGATTGGTCTTTCATATGAAAGGCCTGCGTTAAATTCAAGTGGTCAGGAACCACTAAACAAAGGTGAGCGGAGATTCATCGATGAGATGAGACAGAATGAAAGCCTTGTGTGGCTACGCTTAACGGATAACGACACATCATCCCGTAACTCACTAAGNAGAACCCGGACAAGAGCGGTTGTAACTTATTAAAAGCAAATAACTGAAATTATAAATCACGGCTTGCACAAACGTCTCTCATACAAACCCCAAAACATAAGCAGCCATGCAGTCTTCCCCTTCTAACCTAAACAGATATTTTGGAAACTTAAAGGCTTGCAAGTGACTGTAATGGACCCCTTTCTTATGAAAGAAGCGTTGCAAAACATATGCCTTCTGGCACATCCCAAAAGCTGGAAAGCATCAGGAAAACTGCTTGGAAAAAGAACGATTTGTTCTTTGAAAATAAACGATGTTCTGGGGGTGTTGTGATACCTGCATCTTCTGAGGATCTTCGAAAATAAATTTGCCTTTGATTTTCCAAAGGTTTTCTATCGTAGAACATACCCCTAGGTTTGTGAATCATTTGTGAGCTTCCCAGTGCAGTCAATCTATTGTTCTAGTCACACGATTGGCGAGATGGCTCAGTGGTTAGAGCGTGAATTTACTGATGGAAGGTCCGTGGTTTGAACCAGACTTCTGTCTCTCGACTTCCTCTGTCCAGGCTTGGGCAACCTGTCAGTGTTCCAGCCCTCGTGCTTCCTTTGGGTGGCACTGCTAGGCACTGCTGAAAGAATTTTTCCTCTAGTTAAACGATTTGTTTCGTGACCAATGTGCAACCTGGTTGGTTCCTGTGCACTCATCTATCTGATTTTATTCCAATGATCACGCATATCTCCCAAGCACACCTAAGCGAGATGAATGCAAAGATCTCACCAACAATGGGCCTTTGACTCACCAGCCTATAGTCTTCCAAATGACGTAGAACTGGGCAAATGCAAGCGATAAATGGAAATCCTATTACAAAGAATGGAATAAAGTAGGAACGGTTAAGTTCCTCCAAACTTCTTCAAGGTGGAAATCCAAGGAGTGAAAGTATGAAAATTCCCAAAGAAAACTACGAACCCATAAAGACAGTGTTGCTCCAAAATAACAGGAAGAGCACCATCAGGTGGAAACGGAGAAAAAACTTCACGTAGTCCTGACTGACTTCATAAACCACCACTACTTATGACGGAACCAAGGCAGGAATGCTCGCAGATGACAAAATGTCNTTCGGCTATTGCAATGTGCTATTGTGTGTGAACCTATCACGAAAAGCTACAAAAGGACCTCCTATACTTTCATACCCGAAGCCACGCAAAAGAAGAGTGTCCATGTAACTGGGTTTTCAAAACCCGACTACACGTCTGCCAGGACCTCTATCGTGAATATTTTATTTGAATATGATGTGCTGAAACATTCGAGATAGGGTGAAATGTGGAAACTACAATTTACAAATGTGCTCCTCACCATATGGAACGCAAACGACTGCGTACCTATCAAAGTGTTTCAGTTTTGCGAAAGCAGCCATCAGGTGAAGCTCAATAAACATTTTTCCAACTGACCGATAGGTCGGTTGTGAGTAAGCTCGGGCTTTGGTTGTTGGTCTGCTCGCCGAGCTTGGCAGTTGGAGTTCAAACGTTTCCTCACCAATCGAGGTGACATCGTCAGTGCAGGGTTGAGTGGGTTGACCCATAACAGATTAACAACCAAGTAACGCACCCGAGCTACCTATATTCTACAGCATTGCCAGCCCTGGCCTTCTTGGAATAAGCTTCGACGGAATCCACAACTACCCTCTACGCAGAGAAACCACGTGGCACATCTCTGTCGTCATCAGTGGCAATGCGAGTAGCTATTTATTGATGTGGGCCGGTATCCAAGTGTAATGAGCAAGGCAAAAGGATTCCTTTACCCCACACATTAATCTCACAATGAGCGTATACTCGGTCACAAAGCATGCAAATGTGTGCAAAAAAGCCATACCGATTATACAAAATTATTCATTCAAAAACGGGCTCTAAAAGTAAACCTCCCTGTGTTTTGAAGATGAAAAGCTTCAGTCAACGGCAGAATGATCAGGATTCATATAATGTTGTTTTTACTCGATAAAACGGAGGCTTTTATTCACCACTTGTACTCTGTTTATGTGAAATTGTTGTACTTCAAATTGCTTAAATGCTTCCTGTAAGTGTGTTCACACTTCTTGTACACTACTTTTGATAAGCTCATCCTACCTTTTTAGTCATTCCTCCTTTTAGGGTTTACGCTTATTTTTCTTTGCCAATTCCTCTATTCTTTGGTTCACCAGAGATGAGGCCAGCGGTGTTGGGCTTTTCATATAACCAAAGATTGTACCATGGTGACGAAGTTACTTTGCCTTTGTATCACTCATTTCAACAACTCTGAAATACATCTGTTTCCTCCTATTGTCTGAGTCTTACTGAGTGGTTTACAACCCCTAGAAACCGAAACATTGTTCAGTAGCTTTCGTCTTTGTCTTTTCTGCCAAAAAATTCATTTTGATGCAACGTTAGTGAACATGTCAGTGGTCCTCATCGCCCATTCCATTTGAAGGGGCATTTGGCTATGTTTGTTCTCGGAAATGGAGGGACTGCTTGTTACTCGGGTACTTCCATCCTAGCGTGTGCACTAATTGGCTTTTCCAGATCTGACTCGATCTAATCATGCGATGCAATATGAGTAGGCAACATAGTAGTGGCTCTTCTGCGGTGGAGACGCTGTTGGACATGTCACATGTTTAAGAAGGCCACCATTAAGAGCGTGGTTGCAGCTTGCAATACTGAAAATACTATTCCGACGTGAAGTAGTCAGATCAGTACAATGAAGTCTCATTTTTACGCATGAGCAATTAAAATCGTCACCAAATCAATACATCCATGGGAGCGACCAAGCGTCCACGAGAAATTTCAGCGTACACTGAACGGTTAAGCCGAGAAACTTCACTTTTATATATTAACTAAAATGTATACTCGTCTCAATCAGTTTTAGTTAACTGACTTGACGATACTGAAGTTTGGTTGGTATAAGTTGATGCGCGCTATAAACATCCTGTCTTGACCAGCGTAATGTCTCATTGCCAATAAAAGTAAATTTGTGCATAACAAAAAATGTTGTCATGGATGCGATGCCAAAAGAAACATCCTTTTTCCAACTTCCAGATTAGATTAGTAGTCATAACAAAAAAATTTGGGATATCGACTACTAGCCCATCACTAAATGGAGCATATCTCCGGGTTTTAGCCCAGACTCAAGGCAATCAGATTGTCACCACTAATATGCTCGATGCGCCCGTTGCTTCTTAAAAATGTAATGAAATACGTGTTGTAAATCACTGATCTACTTTGGAATAGACGTAACCGGACCTTCCATTCCTTATGTTAGGAGTGAGATAGCAACCAACCATCTCATGCTACTCAGTGTTATCTTAGCTTGAGTAAGGTCAGCCTACCAAGAATCAAGACGTTGCGTGAGCAGGAAACATCCGATCTACTGCAAAAGGAGAAAGAAAAGCATCAGTTACTTTCTCGACTTTGACCTATCAGAGCGGAAGCATGGAAGTTGAAGAAAAGTTTCTTATAAGGCAAAGAGAACATTTCTAGACATCAGAACAAATCAAGTTCTGATGACCTCCAATTTACGGAGATCTTTCAGGCTGAATTTCAGTTTATAACCTGTCAGGCGGTTACTGCAGTGCGCGTCCTTCATCATCCACATACAGGCTAGAAGTGGTCTTTAGGTGAAATGGACCGATGTTTGAGAAAGCTCGAACAGAGTTATAAATCACCTGACCCAGAACTTTGAGTATAACGCTGTGATCTTGATCACCTAGAGTGCTGCTGGGTACATGAATTGAAGAAGACAGATTTCAATAGGATAGCTTGTGATGGTGGTTCTGCGAATAGTTCTGTTTTTTATATTAAAAAATGAAACGAACATCCGATTTATTCATTGCGACATGAATGAATTTCTGCTTCTACAGACTTTAAGAGGTGAATGCGATCCACATTTTTCCAGCATGATAAGACAACGATGCACAGCCAAAATAAAATTGCGATGATTGCTTCTTGGCAATCAGATTGAATTTAAATCCCACTTAAAGTACGTGAGGTCTATGTTCGATAAGAGCTGATGGTCTTTTCTCTCACAAACCGCTAGAACTTCACTTTTCCATCCTTTGCAGTCGGACGGAATTGGAGGTCGAACTTACACGGAATTTGATCCTGAAGTGCTTTCTATCGACCTCTTGCATCCATCGGGCGCATTGTTTGCATTAAACTAATCTCAGGCCTTAAGAAGAGTTCCATAGAGTACAAGGTTGAACGATTACCATTCCAACTGGGGTTCCTGGAAGCTGAAAATTTGGCATTTCCTAAAACAATTTTTGTACTGCATGGGTTTATCGCCTTTATCTCTAAAACAAGCTGTACACGGGATATAAGAATGGGGAAGCGGCAGCAACCAGTCCATGTGTGTTCATTTGGAGTCGGACACGAATAGTGAAGTTGTAAAACAAAACACTTTGTGCTCCCCTATGAGAGCCAACAAGATAGTGGAAACGTGCTATGCTTGTAGATACTTGTAGAAGCCAACGTTATCCTTGGTTGGTGCTGAAAGTGTTACATTTTGGTAACTGTATTAATTTTATCTAGTCTAAACTTTACTAATCTGCTGCAATAATTTTGAAACCAGTAAGCGAAACTCTAGGAGTGGAGTTCAGCAAACGACATCAAACCGATATCAAGCGGAATGTTGCCTACAAGTACGAAGGTGATAGAATAGAAAGTAATTATGCTCTAGACATATAAAGAACCGATCGTTTGTTCACAAAGTGATTATCGTTGGCTGCCGTCTCATCATGTAATCCCATCCACCGATGCCCTTGGTACACAAGCAGCCATTGGACAGTGAACATTTCCTTGGTACATGTTCAGTGGAGATTTTTCTTTTCACTCTCTAAGCGACGAAAACCGAGTGCTCAAATGTACCAGTTATGTTCCACCTAAATATGCGAACAAAGCTTCCTCTTGTCCCATCCCATAGGTATTGACTGAACTTGGCCGGTACTCGGAACGCATTGAGGCCATCGCAGTCGACGTGCTGAATATTGTTTTCCTGAAGGACAAAACACCGGAGAAAAAAATCTGTCGTAATTTGCTGCAAATTCCACTTCGATCATTTGGAAACGTTCCACTAATCGATTTGTGTGCACGAGCCAAAGGAACAAAACTATTGAGTCTGCCTTATTTTCAACGTCTTCTGGACGAACGGTGGGATGGTGTACTTGTCCACATCCCCTCATTGCTCCGATTACCAGTGCAGTTCTTTCCCTTTATCGGTCTTATCTACCTGGAATATAAAGCGAGGCAGGAACGTTCCGCTATCGCCAGGCAACGTGTTCGCGATACACTGTCCACAGTCCTATTGTCCACAAACAAGCATTCTGGAGCAAACTCGTCAACAACAACCGGTTTAGCTGGTCGTCAAAGGAACAGCAGCGATGCACCTGATGTTGGTTTCGATTCTGACCCGTGGAAACGACTGCGAAACTTACAGTCACAAGGGAAGAACAATTTCATTTTGCCTAAACAGTCGCAACGAGAAGAAACAGTATACAACCGAATGGTCGCTCGAGAAGGATGGCGTAAATTTCCACGCTGTTACTTTATTCTCGGAGTCTACCTCTCACCATCAACAAAGTTTATGTACCACGCTATTTTTCACCTGTGCTTTCTTATTATTTTCTCTGCCATATGTCTTTATCATATTACATGCAGGACCGATATTTTCGAGGCTCTCTGCTTAGCCTACGTAGCCGGATATGGACTCGAAGAGGCACGACAGTTCTTGTTCGAAAGTCTGAGAGACGGATGGAAGGAATACATTCAAGATAAATGGAACTGGATTGATCTTTTGGCAGTCGGACTGACAGCGCTGGGTTTTTGGGCCAAAAACCAGGCAACTTACTGTGACCATGATACAGTGGCTGAAGCCCATGATGAATCCCTGCTATTGACTCGTAATTTTTACATGATGAGTTTGGTTCTTTTTGATATTCGAACGTTGAATATCACTTCGATATTTCAAACAATCGGACCACGACTGAAAATGATGAGTGATATGCTCCGAAAAGATTTAATCCCGCTGCTTGTTGTATTTGCCATATTCATCATTTCCTACGGAGTCTGGTTCCAAGGACTGCTCTTTCCTAACGGCTATTATAAAAATAAGACCGAAGGATCAGGGTCGGTCAGAATGGAGTTTCTGAAAGCTTCGGGAGAGCTTTTGAAACGAGCTTTTTACAATCTGTTTGACATCGGGATCATTTTAAGTGAGGAGAGTGATTGCGGCAGAAGTGTGCCCTGTGGTTACGAGACAGGTTTCAATGTCGTCCTCTATTTTGTGTTCGTTCTCTACACAGGAATTGTGAACATCATTTTGATAAATCTGCTAATTGCCTTGTTTAGCAACACTGTGTCCAGGATTGAACTGGAATCAACCTCACATTGGATGGCGGGTCGATACAAAATGATCAAAGAGTACAGTGAACGGACACCATTACCACCACCGCTAAACGTGTTCTGCATTTTGTACGAGGTGATATACTGTTCCTGTTATCAGTGCTATAAATATGTGCGCAATCATTTTCAAGGTGGGATTAGAGCAGCCAGGCGACAGCGAAAATTAGCCATCGAAAACCACTCGGATTCCTCGAGCGACCAACCCGCCACTTCCGTTCATACACCGGAAATAAAAAAGGAAAAACGCCTGCGCCATCGCAACACCAGGAGGCTTGAAAAATACATCGGAACCATATCCCTGTCAAGCCATTCGGAAAAGCACGAAATTGAAGTGTTCATAAATTTTATCATTCTCCAAAGCTTTGCGTTGCGCGATCAGCGATACGTACTTGGCCTGAGTTCACTAGATGGGGCAGCACAGAATCTGGCGGCGAGTAGGAGAAATGAATTTCGGGACGATGGACAAAGACAAGACTATAATGAAGCGTTTGAACAATTGAACCAACGGTTGGCTCAGTTGGAGGCACTGGTTGACAGACTGCATCCTATGATAGAAAAATTTTGTGTCAACTAAGGCTGACGAATTCGAAATGGTTTAGATTTCATCTGCATTATCATCCATGTTTGTGCCTCATTTCCCTTACGGCAGCTAAGCGCCGTCAAATTAATGGGAAAACAGTTTGTTCCGCCTATGTACAGTCACGTAGCTTTAAAATGTTGGAGAAACATTCACATAAATCATAGATTGTCTAATCTTCACACTTTAGATATTCGATTTTTTCGCTTGATTCCAAATCTCTAAGCAAATCAAAGGCAGGTGATTGCGCAACAACTCTATGTACAACCAAGAACGCGCACCTTTGATAAAGCTACTATGTACATGACACGAGTTTTTCCTTCTTGCAGTTTGTATTAGATGCATGTCCCGTCTGTATTTTGCCAAATACAATTAGCGATTTCAGAAAAATATTGACTGTGGGCCAAAAACTAAACTAGGCGAACTACGGTGCGACTATGGCTTATCGAATACTCTATATTTTCCACTGAATTCGCATAGTAGTATATTTGCGCCTCAGAGGTTTTATTACCCAAAGTTTTCGTACGAGACCAGTAAAGTTCTTTCAGACGTTTTCCATAATGGGGTCCGTCAGGGAACTTTTCATAATGATGTGTTGCAGGCTGAAGATTTGGAAAAGGGTCAAGAGAGCTGTTAAAGAACAGCTGAAAGCATTAGACATTATTCCATGAATAGGTAGTTACAACGTTGATCGACTGACCATGGTGAGTGTCATGTATAGCAAACTATGATGTTAGGCCCACAATCCACTCCACGCACACACTGGATGATCTTAGATTGCAAGTCCCCTTCAGTCAAATCAAAATTAACCATGAACTTCGAAGAAAAACCTTCCTCTAGCTCGGTCTTCTTTCAATTCCCCTGTTGAATTCCCGTTATGAGGCTATGGAATGAGTTTCTTCGCTTTTAAATTATGAGAACCGGTAAATTTGGTTCTCACATTGTTTCCCTACATACTTGAATAGTGGTATAGTAGAATGTACTCACTCCTCCAGTCTGTACCAGATCGCAAACCCTCCAAGGCAATCGTTTCTGCCAGCCACATCTGTAGTCAACGCAGACGATGCGATGACTCTTGCAAATAAACCTGTTAAACCCAGGGGGTTGTGGTGAAACGATATTCTCATAGACTCATTTCTCACAAAACTCAGGTGCGCTCAGCTGGGAAGAGTGACTGCTTCACTCTTTTAATGAATACTCAGTAGAATAACTTGGACAGCATCGATTGTCGAATGTTACTCTCCATGGGGTTAAACGGCTAGCCAGTATATTTCTGTAGTAGAACACTTAACCATAAATGGCATTGCGATTTCCGGATTGTGGCTGCAATCCAGTAACTGCAGTCTTGTGACCATCTTCTGCAGTTTCAACTTTTTACTACTATGAATACAAAAAACAGTACTTTTTTAAAAAGCAAATGCGTTGGACATATCAGAATAATTCACTTTAAGGAGTTGCGCGTTTGAACAGTTCGCGGCTTGTTCCGGAGAAGCAACGGAATTAAGTCTCATTCTAGCCGGAGTCAGTCAGCAATGCACATTCATAATTTAACGCTTGGTATTGAACACGTGGGACGAGCGTGCTACTAAAACTTCACAGGCACAGATAAGAAACACCTGAACTATCACGTCCGAACAGGCAAACATGTTCACAACTGCGTCATGCGATTGATTTGTCCACCTTCGCGAACGAGGACCAGGTGACGGTCCGGACTGTGCCGATTGATTGACTAGCTTGCCAGGCACTCCCAAACAACTTGTTGTAGGTAAATGCGGAATTTGTGGAACGTTTGTCCGCACTACTCGTTTGAGCATGCTTTTCTCCTGGAGCGCTGTAAAGAGAATGCGGTTCAAGAAGTCACTCCCAACCAACTTGTTGTAGGTAACTGCGGAATTTGTGGAACGTTTGGCCGTACTACTCGTTTGAGCAGGCTTTTCTCCTGGGGCGCTGTAAAGAGAATGCGGTTCAAGAAGTGTTAACTTTCACTCTTATAAACGACAACACACAACAGCGTTGGTTCCCAGACTGTTCATAACATAGCCTCTCCTTGGCTTTCCTCCAATAAATCGTTGCCTCATCCTAACTTTCTGGATATCACGTAAAGGTACAACCTGGATGGCTAGAAGGAAACAATATGCACAGTAAAAACCAAAACCTCGACCTCCTTAAGAGGTGCGCCCTCATTCACCTGGACAACACGCAGCGACGTTTCTCGTTGATCACTACCCGTTTCGCACTCGTCGTTCGAGACATTGTGTAAATTGACCACATCGCTCAAACGTGAACACTTTTGCCCCTTCGGATTCAGATGCGTTTGGTGTGTGGTAACACGCCCATCTCGCAAATCGGGTGTCCGCCATTCAAGCCCCAGAAAGGCCACGGTAATGCACTGCTGATGAGCGCTAATAAGGGCTCGAGTTCAGTTTTTCTCTATTCACTATTGTCTCATCAGAATAACCGTGCCAGGACAGGATGACGACTGTTCAAACAAGTGACGTGAAGGTAAATTCTACGAATCCCGCAAATACCTACAGCTAATCCCCCAAAACATAGACCGATTCGAGGAGTATACCAATAACTCCGTTCTCCGTAGAGTGCTCATATCCCAGCATTGTTGTCTAGAAAGGGACAACTAACGCAGTGGGGGTTTAGTGGATGGAAGAAACGAGGACGCGTCTGAAAGTGCATTTTCTATGAGTTTTAGCTGAGAGGCATTTCTTGTCCTACTAAGAACATTGAGTTATGAGCACACCACAAAACGTGTCAGCTGATGCCAGGTAAATCCTTTTCGAGTTAGAAACTCCTGGCGTTTCCCCATGAGTTTTCTTGACAAAGTTTTTTTTAAGGCAACGCGATCGAATCTCGACAGAAATCAAATGTTTCGACATCAGTTTGCGGTGTCACGAGGGGCAGTCAAACTCTGGAATTAAACGTTTAAAGTTGCGGATTTCTCATCACACAGATTTATATTTATCCTTCCATCAAGACACTTTTGATTCCCGTTGAATCTTCCCAAAAATTTATTCGATACATCATTTTAAAAATATTTGGATGACTTATTGTGAAATACGGATATTTTCCTCTCTGAGAGGTATGTAAGTCTGGTAAGTTTCAACCAACATTCGAGCACTGGCTACAAAGAGTAGACTGTAAATAATAAAATTCCCGCGGTCGAAAGGACGTACTAGGGTTAAAACTCTGATCGTCCACGCACAGGAGAATCCCACTTACAAATCCGGTGAGCTGATCCACAGCACGCCGTACGATGAGATAAAATCTGCCATTTGGACTGTCTACGTGCGTCTGCACACAATCGTGTTTTCAACACAAACTGCGTGCAGATGAACCACAAATATCGATAATATTAAACAGACTGCTATCGCCTCCCACTGCCTCCTCCCGGCTTATCAACCTTGTGCACCTTTCGCCGTTCCCTTGTAAAACATTACTACGGCGTCTATCCCTTTGGAGCGATCGTTTTTGACGCGCTACTTCATCAAGCGCTGTACAGTTTTCTTTATATGCTATGCATGAGTTAAGTGTCGGAAACTGTCCGAATTGCTTACATTCAGTCAGTTGTGAAACAGCGTGGTACTTCTTTTTACATCACAATCCTTGTACTCGGTGGTTGCGTTACTTCCACTCAATCTACCATTTCTCCTCACAATATGCATTTTTTTATTCACTTCGTAATTACTACTCTCTTCGTGTTATGAATGACAGGCGGTACATCTACGGTTTGTTCATTTGTTACTCGTTTTTTTTTCATTTCATCTACATGTGTGGCTGAAGTGTAGGTCGTTACCTTCACTGGTCGATTTTCCATCTTCTCAGTACCAGTCACCCTTTGAGCAAAAAGCGACTACGCGTTCATCGATGTGAAGTGCTTCCCGATGATGGCTTCTGAGGTGTGGAGTGTCGAGGCTTAAATGCACAACGCTAAAAAAACCCATAACTGCCATTTTAATCGCCATTCGTTGATTGTGGAAGATTTATTTACCTCAGCCACTTGCAGTTTTGTGACCATTTTTCCTCAAAATGACATGCAAAAGACCCCCTCGGCAATAGCTATGGATGCAAACGCATCGTAAAACCTTTCATTCTCACTTATTTCTGAAGTTTCGGCTTTCTTCGCACTCACTTCCTCCCCTCAACTGTACATCCGAACTTCGTAAGTTTGACACTGATCAATTGCGTCATGACATGGGTTTATTGTAATAGGTTGCTAGAGGCAACTTATTTCCAGGATGGTCGTGTAATCCTCAAATTGAAAAAACACAGCAAGCCAATAAATTTTGATCTAGAGCAGACAGCAGTTTTCTTTAGCCCACCGTTTGCTTTCATAGCGGCATTGTATGGCACATATGCAATGGCAACAATCAAATTTTTTTGAACTCAAGTTCCCTGTGGTAATGAAAATGCTGGACGACCTACAAAAAGAGAGAGCAACAACCCTTAAGTTACCAAAACAAATAAGCACGAAAACGTTCGATATTTCATCCACCCAAAAGTATCCCATGTGTATGTTGGTTATACGAAACACCACAAGCAATAGACTGTACATCTAGGGCTAAATGATGTTTGCGAGCACATTATAATCCCCCAATTTCGTCTACCGTGTAAGATACCCTAAGCAGCCAACGGCAACTAGACACAGTGTCAATTTACGTTGCCTAGATGGTAGATTTCAGGGCGCTTCATTAAGTTCTTGGATAGGTCCCTGTTAGAGATGATCCTGAAACTCCATCTGGAAAATGAAACTAGATAAACCATTCCACGTCTGGCCTCTGTGTTCCAGGGATTTTGGAGTTTGTTAAATGTCAAGCTGGTTTTTCATACTTATGCACCAGACTGAGAAATGACCTTGGGTTGTCAAACAAGTAGGTGGGTTCGAATAATTGCTGCGTATAATTAGGAAAGCCTTCAATTCAGACTTGTTGACCGGCGAAAAAAGCAGCTTTGCATGTGGCATTTACTTGATACATAATTCTAACATGAAACTAGTGTTTCCATACAAATTGGCAGGAGGGGATAAACGCACAGCAGTACAATCGTCGTGGCAAGCAAATCAGTATTCATTAGAAAAAACATATATGATGCAATCGAAATACACACATTTGCAAACTAATTTGGTCTTGCGGGAGACTCACCTGGAAACCAACTGAATCTCTCCTTTATGATGTTTTAATTAACTGAATGTGTTGACCAGTCCGCCTCATGTTTCAGTTGGTACGATAATCGAGATATGGCGATAGATGTGTGAATTTATACACTACTCATAAGGCAGCTGAAAATCCTTCGACGGCCCACGACCGGTTTCAGTGTAAATTTTAACGATCCGCAGATTTGTTCATCTGGATGACGAAAAGTGCTGTGAAATTCGGTCCCTAGTATGTCATAAAGAATGCAGAGCTTAGGGTTTTCGGCAGGTTCCGACGGATTTTCCCGACATGCGCAAAACGAATGAAAAGTTGAACGCAAAGGTGCAATGTTAGGATTTAAAATGAAGGAAGAAAAAATTGCAGTCGTATGATTCGAGTCGCATAATTTCCAAGCTCACCGACTGATAGACACTTCAGTCATATTAGCTGAGACCTAGTTTCTGAGCACATAGTAGGATTTTACGTGAACAACTATTTTTAATCTATTCACCTGAGACCTGACGGGCGGTGGTAAGTGATTCGGCCAGGTCGACACGGTGGCCTGAAGTGCAAGTCAACCGCTTCACGCAGCATATCATTTAGTAGCCATATTCCGTCTGTCCCCCAGAAACCAATATGACAACTTTAATGCAAGTTGCAGTAGCGGAACACTATTTTTGAGTTTATACTCCGCAAAAAATGTTTCTCTTAGCCTTGGGTGATAAGGTGGGCGGTCAAGAGTTCTTCTGTGTAAAGAAGGGATAGAACAAATGCGAGCTTGGCTGTCGGTAGTGGGTTATATGATAGTTTAAATGATCTCTCACGCAAAGGTGAAATTTGAAGCAGAACAGACATGCCGGACTGCTGCGAAAATTTGGTAATGTCCTATTATAAACGTTGTTGACCTCATGTCAACTTGACATTGCTTATCTATTCATTCTGTGGCATATTTGACATTCATAAATGGCCTCCAGGTGTAATTGGCTTCAATTATTGCTTTTATCGTAATTATTCTATGTTAAATGAGACATTCTGACGGTGATTATACTGACCGCGTTGCCACATTTCATAGCACATTATATCACCTTCGCCCAGAATGCAAGTCATCCATGCTGTGTTGCACCACGACTAAGGACCGAAATGAGTCATAATCTAACTGAACAACTGAATAAATATAATGCAAAGAAATGAGTATAACCAAATCACAAAAGCAAATGCGATTAACCCCCAGATTTGACAGCACACTGTCGACCAGTCGTCACTCGTGGCCGAACGGTTTGACCTTAAGCTACCGACCTCGAGGTCGGGTTTCACGAGATGACGACTGCTGATTATTCCTAATGAGGATGAAATAGCTCTACAGTGCTTCATGAGTTTACGGTACACATTAACTACACTTATGCAACAGAAGTCTAGTTGCGAATTTCCGAATCCTTTCATACCATCAACAATATCTAGGTTGCTCAAAAAGAAGGCTAATTCACACGATTGGTAAGCCTTCCATATGATATGTCATACGAGAAGTCAGTGAACACGTCACCACTTGATGTGAGTTCCGTGATTGACTAAAATTGCAGGATGGCAGAACTGGACCACATGCAGCGACTTGATAAATGCTGCGCAATACAACTCCTTGGTTAATACTCCCGATTCCACTTTACGTGACTTTCAGATTTATATGCTTTTCTAACTCCATAAATCAGATGGTTGGTTTGTCGGTTTAACGACTTGATACACTCTAAAACATGCGATTAATTGCATAACGTTCGGCTTAATACTCTGGAACAGTTGATTCCCCGATTAGCCCATTACCCCGATCCATCATCGTATCCGCACCAGCTGCCGATAATCGAAAAAATTCCAACATTTGAGTTACCACGAAAATGTGTCCCACCACGTACACATGCCCTTGACATCAATAATGATTCGCCACTTCAGTCTGATTGATTGATCACCGAAGACTACGAGTTGCGCTAGTAATTCCAGGGCGTAATTTCTAAACCAAGTCAAACTCTGATATCATGTTCATTTCCAAGGAATGACTGTTTCAATCGACGGATTACTCTCCAAATTCTGGAAAGATTTTGCTCACTAGATGCACTGAATTGACCTTGTTAGATCATTCCTCACAGCTGAGGTGCAACCTGCATATAGGAACATGTGAGATGGCATCCAAGACTACATCCGACAACGGGGTAATACGACCTTGGCAGGCTCATATGTGCCCTTGAGGCGTCGCCCTTAACGCATCAAATTATCCCGCTATTATTGTAGCCTACTCAGAGGTCTCGTAAATCGATTGGCGGAGGTTGAACTCGGCACTGTGAGGGTTTGAGACGGAAATTCTCTCACCAATTTTACCACCATATTTGCAAGACTTGGTCTATTTATTCACTGCGGAACAGGAATTGCTACCTAACAAAAAAGGATCACAACAAATAAGAAAATCTGTAGGGAAGTGCGGTAGTGTGGATAGCGTCTCACAATAATGGAAGTCTGCTTGCGCTGCAGAATTTTCAAAACTGGGTCTCTGTATTTTTCAAAGTGAGATGTGTCCACCGAAAAGTGCGCATAATTAATTGTTCCCCGATTCTTGGTGAGAGCAGTCTTAACGTCAGCGGCCGACATGCAAATAACTGTACGTTAGTTGAACCGACAGCTGTATCGTTGAGCTGGTGCTTGTTCACTTCCATCTAAGGTTCGGACAGGTCATGATGCCACTGATTCTTAACGTCAGCTCAACTCCCATTTTACTCCCTCAGTTTTCCTTCAAACATAAAATGTGTCAACGTCAGACCTCATTTTGATGTATGGACAAGGGGATAACTGAAAAATCAATGTAAAGATGCTAAAATTTGTAATGAATTGAGGTATTTTTTGTTTTCTCACCAACCAGGTCCTCAGTGAACTTGACCGTTTCACCGACCGAATCGAGTCAATCGCCGTGGATCTGCTGAACTTGGTCTCGTTCAAAGACAACACTCCCGAGAAGATGATTTGTCATGATATGCTCAACATCCGGTTGCGCACATTTGGAAACTTATCGCTGGTCGACCTATTTGCAATAGCTAAATGTAATGGTTTGTTGGGCTTGCCGTGCACGCAATTTTTATTGGATGAACGATGGTATGGAGTTCTGACCTATGTACCGAATTGGGTCAGGTGGCTTTCACGGGTATTCCCACTGGTCGGCCTACTCTATGTCGAGATAAAAGACAGACAAGATCGTTGCAATTGTTCCACCGCCAGTACCGCTCTGATTGGTAGATGTTGTGCTTCCACCGCCAGTACCGCTCTGATTGGTAGGCAAATGTCCGTTCAAGACGACAACAGTTTGAGCTCAAAGCAGGCAGCACGTGCTAACAAAATAACCAAACACGCCAAATGGACTGATGCCGGTAATTCATATTCCACTGCGGTAAATGATAAGGCCTATGATGACCGCCCCGTGAAGTCGGTGTACGCACAATCGCCAGAACCAGTCATAACTATTTATCAAAGGATAACCAGTCAAAACGAGGAATCGTCAAAATCTCCACGTATGTACTTCCTTACAGGTATCTATCGTTCCCCATCGATGAAATTTTGCCTCCACTCGCTGTTTCACTTGCTTTTTCTGTGGTGCTTCTCTGTTGTGTGCTTCTATCATCTGCATTTTGACTTCAGTATAGCTGAAATCATTGCTCTTGCCTATGTAGCCGGTTATGCTATTGAGGAAATAAGGCAAATTTTATTGGAAGGTTTGAAGGATGGATGGGCAGAATATCTCAAAGATGGTTGGAACTGGATCGACATTCTGGCCGTCAGTCTTACAGGAGTCGGATTTTGCGTCAGAATGAATGCACAAAAGAAGACTGATGACCCTTTGGACGAATCAAGAGATCAGATACTTTACGCAGCACGTAATGTGTACATGTTAGGTCTGAATTTGTTCTACATGCGAACGCTCCACATCACTTCTATATCCCAGGTTATTGGACCTCGACTAAAAATGATGGCCGACATGTTACGTAAGGACCTTCTACCCATGATACTGGTGTTTGTTATATTCATCTTCTCCTTTGGCGTCTGGTTTCAAGGTCTTATTCACCCGAACGACTTCTATAAAAGTATGGCACAGATGGAAATTTACACGAGAGAACGTCGACATGAAGGTCAAAAGCTACCTGGTTCTTTTAAAAAGATGATAAAACGGGCCTTCTACAGCATCTTTGAGGTGAGCATTGTAATTGACGAGCAACACTGTGACGATTCTAAGGAATGTGGCAGCGAGCGGGGGATGGAAATTGTACTGTACTTCGTTCTCGTTTTGTACACGTGGATTGTGAACATAATCCTGATCAACCTACTGATTGCTCTGTTCAGTAACACTGTGTCCCGTATCGATCAGAAAGCCGCAGCTCTGTGGCTGGCCGGCCGATACAAAATGGTTAAAGAATACAGTGAAAGGACTTTATTACCCCCACCGTTGAATATACTTTGCGTGCTGTTGGAGCTTCTTCAGTTTATCGTTTCCCAGTGTAAGAACTGCATCCGAAAGCGTTCGAACCCTAAAGAGGAGTTCAGTGACACAAGTGCCTATGGCCTAACCAAAGAGCAATCAACGTACAATCCCAATGATTTTCGCACCAATTTACGTCATACGACATGGATTCGCCATGCCCTGTTAAATAGCAATCGGGATACTACGAAACAGGAGGTGGATGCCGTGTTGAAATTCATCTTGCTGCAAAGCTTCGCACTACAGAATCGCCGGCACATACTTGGAACTGGGCTACTTGGGCAGGGGTTCATTAGTTGGCCGGCTGGAACCCAAGAAAGTGAAAATTCGCAATCCCAAACAAATCAGGAATTATCACAAGCCACAACTAGAATCAACAAGCGCATAAACCTGATAGAGGCTAGTCTGAACATATTTCTCAAGAAATTGAGCGCTGTGCCCCATGAAGCTGCGATGATATCCAACCCGAAACGCTTGCCAAGGCCGCTAAAAATGCCATCAACAAGGATGATTCGTACACCATCCAATGCATCAACAGTATCTGTGCACATACCCACTTCCTCGGAAATATTTGCCAGTCTTTCAAAACAATCCAGTTTCTCGTCACCGCGCGTGTCATTAACCCGGGGGAAAGGGGAGGCTAGTAGACCGGACGGATTGCCAGAACATGAGAAACCGAAGGCCAAACCCTAACAGAATGGGGATCTGTGTAACAGGTAGAATTAGTGCTACCAAGTTCATTTTCTATGCACACATTGTGTATCCGACTGTTGCGCTCATTATCTTTCATTCGTTGGAATGAACTTTGACAGGTTTAGAACCAACTGACATTTACGCATAAAACGTATCCGTGGAAAAAGTGATACAATAAAATATTCAATGAGTTACTTCGTTTACTCTAGTGTAGACGGTCGGCAAAGGTTTGACCGAGGGGATAAGCAACCTTGGCTAACAGACAAAGTGAGATGTTGGATCACGTAATATACCGTATCAGACTCAAGTTGAGGAAACACTTCCATCAGCTTATGGATACCCGTATCCTGGATTACTGAAGTTGGAAAAACCATCCAGTCATCAACTCACTAAAACAATGGGAAGCAAGTCAATGTGTGATGCACTAGAATTGGAATCATGATACTGTTAAGCACCTCATCGGCAAAGTTGATTAGGGTGCAGTACCAACTATCTACAAAACGTTGAACGTATTTACCTGGGCATCCGACTTTGATCGATAGATCTAGCAGCCAGTTGAAATTCACTGAAGACGGTTTGGTTGTTGGTGAGAGGAACAAAACTGCGCCCAATTCATGTTCGTTGGGGTCAGAAAATAGACCCAAGGCAAGGGTTGCCACATCGGTCACACAAATTAAGATATTCATTTAGTTTATGTGGCGCTGTTTCAATAAGTAACTATTACAAAATAGTCAACCTTGTCTTACCTGAAACCAGATCGTACGCGATTCACGAAATACATTCATTTGCTGCAACTATCGAGGACCATTGAGAGTCTCTATTAAGGATACCACTGCCAGCCAGTCAGGTCAGCTTTCCAGCTACCAAACATGTAGAAGGCAATTCAGTGAATAAAGGTCAGATTCACCGACCGGAAGGTCCGTAGTTCGAACCAAACCTCTGAATCCCGAATGCTTTCATCCGGACTTTGGGGATTTGGCAGCATCTCATCCGTTATTCTTTCGTGTGGCATGGCAGCTAAGCACCGAAAGGGTGCTACAACCGAGCGAAACCATACACTGAAGTTGCCACATATTCAGCCACCGCGGCCCGGCCAGTTTATTGATGTTCAAGGAATTTGCTTGTTCGCACTACAGGACCTGAGGGAGCTAGGCTTTGACAGAGAACCGCCAACGCAACTGAGTTAACTGGTAAATAATTTCATGCTCCGTTGCCACATCATGGATTGACCATCACTAGGTCTTCTTCACCCGACACATTGCTGATCAAGCAGCGCACCCTCATAGGAAGTATATGATCTAACCAGCGTTACCCATAGAGTGTGGTCAGCCGACATATTGTGGGAGTTACCGAACCCGAAAACCTCACCATCACTGATCAGATGTTCCAATCAAACCTAAGGAATACTTCAGAGGCACCGATAGTCAAACAGATAGCGTCAGCGGAGATCTGCACGCAGCGGCCACACCTCTGATCCAGGAAGAGAGCAGCAGTGTACACTCTACCCTTAACAGCCGTGTCAGCGCCACAAGTGTCGAAGTCTGACAAACACCAACTTGGCCTTCCTAATTCGCAATGCCTTCGGCTCTCACCAATCTGTCTATCGAAGTGCGAGAAATCCGGGATCGTCTGGAGCAGTTTAAAGTGTATGACTGAATATGGATCCTGTATACGTGCTTCAGAGACAACAGATACGTCGACTGGAAGAGAAAACAGGGTCTGAGCAATAAATGTGCTGCCCAGGTCAACTTAGAGCACGAACTTTGAAAGTAATACTGTGGAACAAATCTGAATTTGATGAGGGATTATTCTGATTCGTTTTGCAGGCCAGAATTTTAGATACGGAGCACGGTTAGACGACCAACGGCAAAATTTACCGCGACTAAGTTGAAGGAAGCGTCGTGGAAAGTCGACGAATGAAGGGGCTTCGTCTAGGGTACTCCATCTCGAGCCTGTGATCCAAAAGTCTGACATAAGGTAGTGGGGGGTTTTGTTCAAGATCCCTTTCCCTAGCCTTCATCTGAGAAGTTCGAACCGCGAGCTAAAGTTGTTAGGGTTTTCTTGTGGGAGCAGTCAGAACGTTTGGGTTTAGGTCCTCTTGGGGAGCCTACAATGGCTAAGCAGAGATAATAGCTGAGCATAATCACTGGGGATACATTAAAGGCGAAGATCAGAGTCACTGCTGAAAAGCACGGAGCACCGAAACAAAGTTGTCCGGTTTTAGATGTTAAACCACGAGCACCATTTTTACGGTTTTCTCCGTTTGTTTCTCCTCCCCAAAACGGTGCAGAGGTCCATCCAATATGATGGCTCCGTGGATTGAATGGAATACAATTGTTATAAGGTCGTGTGTCTCCACGCACGACAAATACATATTTCTCGCCACCGCGTAGATCATCTGAAGGAATTAACCAAAACAGTCACTTTTGGGAGAGTTGTTTCTATCGGAACGACCTCAAGGGTCCACTACAAGGTGGTCGCTTGTCCGTGGCTCCGTTGCTATCGGTAAAACAATGAACTCGTAAATTGATCGAAACTGTGCCAGCCACAACCACTGTACGGCAAGTACGCTGATAGTGATGATGATGATTAATGGAAGGTTATGTTATGTACTACAGAAATAGTGAAACCCGAACGGTCCATACAAACCGGGAAATGTTCTAGACCAGTGCCTCGTAACTTCAAACAAACACAAAGAAAAACAACATCAAGCCACCGCCACTTTGATCACAAGCATACGTGTACAGGCAACAGACAATCCAACAATCATCACCGGTAACTGGTGATCCCAATGAAGTTACATAACAAGCTACGTGAATGAAGGATACATCAAAACCATCAAATAAGTGCCTCCACTTCGTTAATTATTGCAAGAGAACTGACAACTGAGATTAGCGAATTGGCAGAAAAGCATGAAGGGAAAGTGATTTTAGGTGTTTAAAAACTCATACAAAGTTCTCTTAAAACCTAGGTGTCCAGAAAGACAGATGGCTTGGCGTACAGAGTTTACACCAGTTGCAACAGCTGTGTGGCTCGTTTGAAAGCATGGATAAACGGAAAAATTTTGTACACGGGAAATAGGGTGGAGTTGGGATCTGGAGGTCACAACAGTCAGACAACCACACAGGGACGGGGGAATTTATGTACATCGGTTAGGAAAGCAGTTCTCAAGAGCCAGGATGGAAGAGTCCGTCACCGTCGCTTGCGCCCGCGCATGTGTGACTTAAAACGCTGTAATACAAGACTGTCGGTCGATCGTTCGGCACCCAAACGTTCACGTTCCGCTAGAAAGGATGCAAAAACAGTAGCGCAGATCAGTAGGTACGGTGCTCGGGTTTGTGTCCAACAGAAAACCAGTAATAAAATCAGAACCAGAGGAAACCACCTGAAGTCGAAGTACGAAAAACTAGTTTTTGCTTAAACTGACTTCATGTTGTCTTTCATAAGCTGAGGGACATAACTGGTCGGCAAGAACCTACAAATAAGTTGGGAAACTCAGGCTCAACTGGCCCATCTAACCTGATAGCGACTGTAAATAAGCCCACCATATTTGTCCATTCGGGCGAATATGAGACAAGTGAATATAGGAGTATAGCGACTCCCATGTTCACTTCGAATTGTATAGTGCCTTTAATCTGAGAGGACGTATTCCCATTTTCTTCGTCCTGACTTGATCACGGTATTTCAGAAGTAATGACCAATGTGGTGTGGTCATACTGTTCCCATCATAGAACTACCTTGACATTTCTTATTCTCTGCCGTAAAAGAGTTATACATCTTCGTAATCGTTAGCTATCTCGCCCATCAGTTTTGTTGGACCACGATGCATCTCACTGGAATAGGCCATAGGATTTAATCAAGTGTGGCGGTTTAACTATAGTTCAAAACAGGCGATGAGTGTAAAGCGGAAACGGCTAAACCCTGGCCCCCGCATGTCGTATGATCAAGTCAGGACGAAGAAAATGAGAATACGTCCTCTCAGATTAAAGACACTATACAATTCGAAGTAAACATGGGAGTCGCTATACCCCTAGGCTGACGATGCCGACATATGAGCGATAGAATAGCCAGGGCAGGTTTGGACAACCTAGCTCGCGGTTAACGCCTTAATCAATGGGTTATCTCCAGCGCACCCTGTAATTAAGGTCATCGATACTCAGTAGTCTTGAGTGCCATGAGAAACCGTATTGAGATAACAACGTGGTAGTCGAAAAATATAGTTCAAAAGAGGCGATGAGTGTAAAGCGGAAACGTCTAAATCCTGGCCTCCGCGTGTCGTCAAAAGACGATACATGAACAAACGACGAAAGAAATGAGTCTTAGTTTCCTGGTAATTGGCCTAGCAAACTAGTATCGGCCGTCGATTTCAATTACGAACTGAGAGGATTCGCCACACTGGAGAAAACCAGGAATCTGAGTATTCTATATACCAGGTGACTAACGGTGAAACGGAACAGACATCGTGAAAGTTGTACAGGTTCTGACAGTGTCCGAATGGAATATTGCAAGGGAAGTTGAGAGAGCCTGGAATAACGAATGCCACATACCATCAAGCCCAGTTGTCTGCTGTTGGACAATGTCCGTCTTGTGAGGATTGGCCTTCGAAGCAATATTCAGAAGGTCTCGTGTGTAGTCGCCAGATGAAAAGGTTGTCGTCGCGTTGTGACTATCTGAAGGAGTATGAAAATACCAGCATACAAATCAGTTAAGGAACGGCAGGTAGGTAGGAAATCAAGAAAGTATTAATATCGGGATACAATTGCTTCATTTGCATTCGTTAATCGACGACAGAAAACAAACGAGTTAACAGTCAAACCTATTTTACCAATTTACAAACGGCAAGAGTATAGCTACAGGAGAACGCGGGTTGGTGTTAAAAGTTACGCCGGGACAAACTCAAGGTCCCTTTCAGCTATTTCTGAGTCCAAAGTGTGGTAATTAACGGGTTCTATATCAAGAAAAGGTGTAGAGGTGATAGTGTCAGAAGCATGGGTGAAGTTGCATATCTCAAGTGAATTTCGTTTCGATGAAGTTCGGCACCTTTACCAATGCTCCCTGTTAGGCAATACGTAAGACAAAGGAAAAACGGAACGCGACATTAGTGACTGCGAAAACCCGGATACGAAATCCCCAGCAGACCGCTTGCCACTTAATTGTCCAGGTGGTAAATTTGGAGCGCTTTGATTTGCCCTCATTGTGCAAAGAATGTAATTCAATGTCCAGCCTCCTGTTGATGACCCTACAATCGAAGCTCCTTAAGCAGCAGTATGTTGATCAACTAAATACTAATGAGTAGGGTTCTCTAGGCCCGCAAGAAATAGCCCAAAAAATTACTGCTTTCTACAAGATCTTCTAGTATCGAAGAAGCATATGTGAGCGAACTTTAGCAATATTTACTTCTTCTAGCGACTTACAAGGGATTTCATATTTATGGAGCTGTTCGATAAAGAACTTAGTGTTGCCAAAGTCTAGTCATTGGTCAGAGTTTGTTCCTTTCGGCACGACATAATAAGTCTCTTCACGTTAGTGTAGGCCTCACTCGGAAGTCATGTTGAAGTCCAAGAAGTCAATGTAGATTTATGGGGGCATTCACCAATGTTTGAGTGCCAGTATAGTTGAAACAGGTCTACGTAACTTATCGGAATTCCGAAAGGGTTCACCTAAAGCGAATATCTAGGGTTGATGACTAATTTGAAGATCAATGCGATGTCCAATGGAGGGTATGAAGATCAGGAGAAGACAGTGAATGACTCTCACGCCATGAAAGAGTCGCATTTTCCGGTAGTTCAGCAGCCGAATTACAAAACACGGCTGCGCACAGTCAAACACACAGAATGGCCACACACTCATTCTTCTTTCAGAATCTACCACATTTGCTGCGCACACAATTCAACAAGTAGCTAACCGTTTCTTCCTACGCATCTGCCTGGTAGACCATCCGATAGTCTTAAAACTTCTAAATATTTTAACGCCGTCCAGACAACGAAACACCAACTCTGATCATCAGAAACAACTGTGCCTGTGTTCTACAAAGAAAGGAACTACGGTTACTGTGAACATGTCCGAAATTTCGAAAGATATATCAGTTATCTAAACCGATATGCCCAATGAACCTAAAGGCTCTGGTAAACGGTAAGCCACAAAAGCTAGCAGACAGATCCCATGTGTGGATAGGTATTAGGCTATAGAATGACGGTTACTCAGTACGAACTTAGGGTGCACAAAATGCACCTGGAAATACAAGACATCTCAGGTAATAATAATAATCAAAACAGAGAAGTAACCTTACTCCATCGACTGTGCTGAACGAAGTTGACAGCCACATTAGTTGGGGCCAGGCCATCAGACGCCATTCCGTAGCCACGGTTGAAACGGTGCTTGAGCAAAGTTTGTTTGGCCTCCTCCGTTGCCTCAATGTTGCGCATTTTCGCATCCACACCCAAGTCAACTTCCGGGATCCCACAAAGCATTTGATTGGATAACATATCCTCCTTTTGTTGACCGATAACCGGTCTCAAGTATTCCGGTACATCGCGAAGGAGGTCTGCACCAGCATTACTGTAGAACAAGAAGAGGCGGAGGAAGATGGAGTCAAACAGAGTCGTCTGCACGAGCCAGAACCAAGAGGCTCTGGAGCATGGAGCCAAACAAGAATTTGGAATACTCCGCATTTCCCGCACTAACGGATCTTCGAACATCCAGCTGATATATGAGCGTAATGATTGTGTCTAAGTCGTATACCATTCTGACAAACACGATCACCAAAAATTACAGGCGATAAAAGATGGGTCCGTCACTAGGGCATAGATGCGCACAACTGTTATCAGTGCAAACAGGGAGTGTTTTCGCGCGTCTGCATATCGCAAACAGCCAAAGGCAGTAAAAAGAGTACCACAAGCCTATAAGTGAATGCCACATTGACTTGGAAAAATATACCAGAAATGGTGGTAGAATGTTATGAAAACGACCTGATTCTCAGCCTTAGATTAGCAAGATTAAAATTGTTTGGAGAAAGATCCTCTTTAGGACGAAGGAATCGCTTTCTTTCAAACCACAGCCGTCAAGGTCACTGTTTTTTCTGGAAAATAGTGTGGCATAGGTAAACTGATATGAGGGCCAGGGTAGCGGGGACCAAAGGATATAACGACTACCAAAGCAACCGACTAGATCACGCCATACTTGCATTCTATTGTTGTTTGGTAGGCCTACTTCAAATAAGCAAATGGAAGGCGAACTCAAATTATACATCTTTTCGAACTGGTTGCATTCAAGTGGCCCGGCTCTTATTACTCATACGTTCACTTCTGTTATAAAAGTTTGATAGCGGACCCCAACGCTAGTAAGAGTACTTTATGGAGAAATAATTCCACTCTGCGCCAAAAGACACTACTCAGTTCCCCTAAACTTATTTCAATGAGGAGCTGCTACAAATCTTAAAACAACATTTCGCTTGCTGGCAGTTACCACGAGGATTCGGCACACAAGATGTGGATTGGCAACGGAGTATCCAAAACAAGATTGCTGGTCGTTTTCGTTTTCGAAAGACATTAGGCGGATCAATGAAGATTCAACATGGCTGATGAACATAAACAATCAACGGCATGATGAACAGGGAAAGGTAGCCATGTTCCTGATGACAAAAGCTCGGATACGAAATGAAATTGCATAAATGACAAGATGTGCAGCGAAATCTTTGAGAGGCGATGCGGTCTCTCTAGAGGTCTTCATTTGGGGTAATGCAAGTTGCAGGTGTGGCTTTATTTGCTGATTGTGGATGTTACGTAGTCCTGAAAAGTCAGGGGCTATGAACCCATAGATCAGTGATCCTCAGCCTGTTTCGTAATGTGAATCCCTTCCACCGTCCTCGTATACCTTTCGAATATTTCCGGTTCAAAATGGTAGGAGAAATGATCGTAAGTGATGAACTAGATTAACGTATTGTAATCGCTAGGCGGTTAGTGTTATGGTCTACTGACAAAGGTGTTGTTTTCCACGCCCGGTTCGTAATGGTGCAAACCAGGATGCGAGCAAGTTACATCCTGACATGGGATAATACAGGCTGAGGGAGAAATCTGCTTTGTCGATGTTGGTCGAGGAGTTCAGCCAACGAATCACATAAAACACTGAGAACTCAGAAGTTCACAAGGTGGTTCGACGGAATACAGGCAATAATCATCATCATCACCATCATCAGTAAGTAGTTCAAAACTTCGGAAGCTCCAGGAAACTATCGGCGAGCCACATATACCAAGGGTTCAAGTAATTTTGGAACTCAAAATTCATTGAATATAACATACAGGAAAGTAAGCGGTACATTAATGCTTTCCTCAAGATACGTTATCAAACTATTACCAGTATAACATGATGTATATTTCGCAATCAGATATTAGTTTTCAACTGTCGTACAGAGGGTAGAAATAAGAGGCTGACAGAGAGACAACTTAGAAAGTTCTAATGAAGAGATTGTAAGCATCAGCACTCACGCGCGCTGTGTAGATTGAATAAGGCCCATAGATAAGTTTGGGAAAGAGAAGGTCGATGTGGTCTGAGATAACGCTTTGCCAGCATAACACAGTATGCACAATAAGTAGGATACTGCCGGATTGCTCAGTCCTGCACAAAGGGACGAGTAGGACCCTCAACCAAGGAATTTAACTCAAAGGATCAACCGCAAGGTAACAGCCATAGTCTAAATTTAATGGAGCAAATCGCTACACATATTCGGCCCCCAGTCTCGAGAATCAGGAGAGCTCGTATATCTAGCCCAAACCGGGCCGAAGAAAACCATATGAATGAAAAACCCTTGGATCAGTGAACTGACCCATTAACTTGGTTACCTCAGTCCTGATGTCCGACTCTATCCAACCTAGCATGAGGCCATGCAATCAATCTAATGTAGACGAACCCAAGAGGTTAGGAGCAGAAAAACCTCAGCCAAAAACAGAAAAGTGAGTACTAGTGGCATAAGTACAATTGTCACATTAAAATACAGCTGATTAAGCATACAGTAAGTTTCAGTCATGGCCCTGGAGGTGAAGCTGTTGCATCTCATAGTACACATTGATAACCACGACGAAAGTATTCTTCTACAGATGTTGACATCAGCTACATTACGGCGTTCAATCTCGATTATGATTCTGAACGAGCTTCGGAATTTCGTTCAAAAAAGGCAAAAAAAAGCGTGTACCGAACGGACTGCAGTTTGTTGATGCACTATGCTTCGTTGAGATAGCAATCAGTATGGCCAAAATACTCGTACAGCAGAATGCCTCATTCTATACCTTAACATCTCCAAAAATGCTGAAGGATTCAGCAGCCACCAACCCGAGCTAAATAGGACACAGAAATGACGCTTCAGAATGCTACTGTCTCGTCAGTCAAAGGGCTGTTGGGCAAGGAATGTGCAGTAAGGAATATGAGCAGTGATCGCCGGCAGGTAATAGAATTTCAGAACACCCACACTGTTGATGTTGTGACGAATGGCAAAATCACAATCAGACTAAGTCAAGGCGAAAATATCACAACTTAAACAGCTCGCTTAAACACAGGCTTAGCAGACGAGCACTGTGTGGGCTCATTCGAGATAAATTTATTTGGCCAACATTGTATACCCATTTTCCTACAACGTAATATGTTTTCTGATCTCACTCTAAGTCCAGAACAAACAAGGGCACGAGAAGGTCACACGCACAAAAAGTGTAAGTTCATGAGTGGTACGGTGGGAATCCAATAAGCCTGTGAAGTTGGTTTGAGAGGACAACGAGCAGAAGACACAACGAGTACCAGGTGAAGCAGCTAACGCAGCAACGTACTGCTTTCGGTCATGGTCGGATCGCAAATGTGAGTCACTATGTGCACCAACTTCAACCAATAAATGGAGACCATAAGATGGAACCCATCAGAGTACACACTGACATAACCCCGGTGCTCCCAAGCCACACCAAGTAGGTTAGAGATCTGCGTCCTCACCCCCGGGTTTTCACAGGTCACATCCACACTTCGCATAGACGATCAGCATTCTCAAGAAGGGACGAACACCATGCAGACTGGAGAATTCGTGGCGAAAAGGTTGAGGACACGACGGAAAACAGAACGTCGAACAACCCCAGACAAGCCAACCATACACACACAGCTGTGGAAGACTCAGTGTGTCCCGTTGAATGTTACTTCAGTCTGAACAAGCTAAATTCCCCTGGCTGCGGGTGACTGTTGACAGCTTCGAGAGCCAGATGGTCTCTTAGTATTTGAAGCGTCGACGTGAGTAACAAGGAATGGGTTACAACTAACGTTCCACCCAAAATGGTAGTGGGTTGATACAATTATCATGCATTAATTTAAACGATGAAACATGTATTAACACATGGAACAGCATCGGGTGTGAGTGTGCAGAATAGAATACATCAGAGTCAAACTTACGATTCTGGGGATGGAGTACGTCGCAATCCTTTCCGCCGAGCGATTTCTTCTTCGATATACTTAATCCTGAAAAATGTATCAATGAAGCATGGAATAGAACAAACATTTCGGCATCTTCATCTCGTTTGTTAGTCTCTGTCGCGAAGGTTTTAGCCAAACGAGCTTCAACATCATCCTCCTCTTCAGTTTTCTTCGACCTGATCGCGTTCCTGATCTCCACCAATCCACCCGTTTTCAACTTAAAGGGGTCGCTAACGATGATTGTCTCTTCTGGAGCTGCTTTTCCAGTACTCAAAGCAGAGAGACTGATACCAGGAGGTCGCTTACGGACCTTCTGTAATTCCCTTATGGCTTCAACTACATGCGTACTGTCCTCTTGCTGCACAAGCTCATTTGAATCATTGGTTTTCTCTCCCTCAGATTCGGAAGAATCACTGGGTCGACGGGTACGGAGACACCGTTTCTTAGCTGGGTCCATTCAAACGAGTTCCTGTGAAGACAAAAGGGAAAGAAATTTAACGTCAAAAACCAACAGAAGAGTGTTTCCAGAAAAGGTTCGACCGGAAGATAGCTATTGTCCGTTTCTTAGCTGGGTCCATTCAAACGAGCTCCTGTGAAGACAACAGGGAAAGAAATTTAACGTCACAAACCAATAGAAGAGTGTTTCCAGAAAAGGTTCGACTGGGAGATAGCTATTGCAAGCTCGGATCAGCAATTTTCCACACGCAAGCCGAACGGGACGGTCTCAGGAAACATGAAATTCCGATGCTTTTATGATTATCGATAGTTATCCAAGCTTATCTGGAGAAGATGAACACACAAACCCATGAGATGTACATCACATGGCCAGCTGAGTATAGTGAACGCCATTCAGAAAAATGAACTTATGCATTTTTAAGAGGCGGCCAGTGAGACCCAGAATGGGTCTAAATGTAAACATACGGCGCCCGGCAAATAAAAAGGTGCTCTTATCAAGACTGGGACGAGTACACAGTGAAAAAGTTGTGCAACCCAAATTGACCCATAAGGATCACGAGACTGCATGCACGTACCAGTATGGGTCAAAACACAGTTTGAATCTAACGAAAATTCAGCGGGAAGTACCACGGTTACTGATAGTAGGATTCCAAGGTAATTGCACGAGAATAACCACAGTTACTGTCGCCAAAAAGTAAGCGCATTCAGTAGCCTACTTGTGTACATGTTCGACTTGAAGAGTTGGACAAAGCATAGTGCTGGAGTTAGTGGGAAAGACTGAATGGCTCTCGCTGACTTCGGTCCATTGTCTCCAGAAAACAGCTTCAACACTGCTTATTATCCGGTTTAGTGTTCTGTATTTATTTAACGCGATCATGGAGTGACACAGCTGCTTCGAATTTCCGAAGTAACAAATTTCAGACCTTAAGGTTCTAGTAAGGATTATTCGTGATATGCCGTAGCACTGGGCTCAGCCTCCGTGCACGACCACACATTTCCACTCGCCGCTTGTCCAACAAGAGGCAAACGACGTTTGCACAACTGTTTTGTTGACGAAATCTGAACAAGTCACCTCTATTCAGCAGATAAAGGACAGGTAAAAGACAAACTGAATGTCAAAATATTCCGTCTGGATTTTTAATTGCAAGCTCTTACACAAACGGACTTCTTAGTACCCATATAAGGTAGGATGCTGAAGATACATCTTTTTCAGTGTACTCAAAACCTCTCGCTTGCGGTGATCCATGTCTGATCGTTTTTTTTCACATCAAGAGTAGATTTAGCATGCAAATACACCGCTAAGGTGCGTTTTCTTCAAGAGAAACCATTCCATGTTGACCCGAGTGACCTATGGTCCAATATTAGGACACAACAACAATCGCGTGAATTCTGTTAACATTTGAAACTCCGATTGACCATTCATAGCGTGATGTACCTGAAGTCATTGCGGAAGGTGAAGCTGTGGCAACCGAGAGTCTCAACCAGAAGCGAGACTTTTTCAATTCGTTGAATCAGTACATGTAAACAGAGGAGCGATGAGCCACCCCCAACAGAAACTCAGACTTCGGTTGATACTGGTACTGTAAAAGCCAAACTGCACAGCAGTGAAGAGATGGTGCCTTAGGAGAACCCTTTGTCACCAGATTATGATGTCGAATGCAAAGATGTCCGCCTAAACAATAAAAACTAGACCATCGATCCGCAAGCACGCACATACTTTGGAAATGGTCCAAAAAGTAGTCGTAGCTTTACGTGCTCCTTACGTGGTCCTTCTATCACGAAGAGACTGGACCTTACNAGCCCAAACCGGGCCGAAGAAAACCATATGAATGAAAAACCCTTGGATCAGTGAACTGACCCATTAACTTGGTTACCTCAGTCCTGATGTCCGACTCTATCCAACCTAGCATGAGGCCATGCAATCAATCTAATGTAGACGAACCCAAGAGGTTAGGAGCAGAAAAACCTCAGCCAAAAACAGAAAAGTGAGTACTAGTGGCATAAGTACAATTGTCACATTAAAATACAGCTGATTAAGCATACAGTAAGTTTCAGTCATGGCCCTGGAGGTGAAGCTGTTGCATCTCATAGTACACATTGATAACCACGGCAAAGGTATTCTTCTACAGATGTTGACATCCGCTACATTACGGCGTTCAATCTCGATTATGATTCTGAACGAGCTTCGGAATTTCGTTCAAAAAAGGCAAAAAAAAGCGTGTACCGAACGGACTGCAGTTTGTTGATGCACTATGCTTCGTTGAGGTAGTAATCAGTATGGCCAAAATACTCGTACAGCAGAATGCCTCATTCTATACCTTAACACCTCCAAAAATGCTGAAGGATTCAGCAGCCACCAACCTGAGCTAAATAGGACACAGAAATGACGCTTCAGAATGGCACCGTCTCGTCAGTCAAAGGGCTGTTGGGCAAGGAATGTGCAGTAAGGAATGTGAGCAGTGATCTCCCGCAGGTAATAGGATTTCAGAACACCCACACTGTTGATGTTGTGACGAATGGCAAAATCACAATCAGACTAAGTCAAGGCGAAAATATCACAACTTAAACAGCTCGCTTAAACACAGGCTTAGCAGACGAGCACTGTGTGGGCTCATTCGAGATAAATTTATTTGGGCAACATTGTGTACCCATTTTCCTACAACGTAATATGTTTTCTGATCTCACTCTAAGTCCAGAACAAACAAGGGCACGAGAAGGTCACACGCACAAAAAGCGTAAGTTCATGAGTGGTACGGTGGGAATCTAATAAGCCCGTGAAGTTGGTTTGAGAGGACAACGAGCAGAAGACACAACGAGTACCTGGTGAAGCAGCTAACGCAGCAACGTACTGCTTTCGGTCATCGTCGGATAGCAACCAATAAATGCAGACCATAAGATGGGACCCATCAGAGTACACATTG